CACATTTCATTGTAGTATTTTGCTTTGTCATTCCGAGCAGCCTTTTGGAATCTTCTGTTCAGCTCTTTAGTATCTTGAATTCTTCCTTGTGCTTTTGCTTCTTTACGCTCCAGTGCAATCTTCAGAGTCTCTTCTGACATCCATTTTGGTCTTTTCGTTCAATTTCCCTCTTCTGATCTATAATCTGTCCATATTCACCTTGATCATTGCTTAGCTGGTTCTTATAGAATGACAGAAATGAGGCTGGAGATCAGGTGATTGAATTTTGTACCATCAATGATTTATTCATTGCAAATACCTCTTTCAAAAAACTTACATAGTGACTATACACAAAGACCTCTTTTGATGAACCACACAAGAATCACACTGACCATATCTGTGGAGAGAATTGATGAAGAAGCTCAGAATCAGTTAAGGGCAGGGACTAACTGTGGAGTGGACTACCAAATACTAATGTGCAAGTTCAAATTAGAGCTAGAGAAAATGAAAATAAGTCCAAAATATTACCTTGAGTCTATACTACCTGAATTTCAAAACCATTACAAGAATAGGTTGATACATTGAACACGAATGATCTAAGAGCAGATGAGTATATTATCCTTGAAGAAAGCAAAAGGTCATTACAAAGACAGGGAAGAGACCAAAATGGATATCAGAAGAGACTGAAAATTGCACTTGAACTTGGGTCAAAACAAAAGGAGGGAATCTGAAGTAAAAGAGATGACAATTTCAAAGGACAGCTTGAGAAGACAAGTGTTATGTATGAAAAATGAAATGTGCAAGAGCTGAAGTTAGAAATATAGGCATATGCTCAGGACTTATTAAGTTGAAGGAACTGAAATTCAAGACTGTTGTAATAACGGAAGGAATCTATGAGTAAAATCTTGAATGATGCAAGAAGCATCAAAAGAAGATGGAAGGTTCATACAGTCCCTATACAGAAAAAGAATTGGTCAAACAGAACCATTTCAGGAAGTAGCATATGACTGGAACCAATGGTAATGAAGAAGTTGTAGCTATGCTGAAAATATTGACAAAAACTTAAGACCCCAGGAATTGATGGAATACAAATTGGTATGTTTTAACAAACAGATGCAGCCCTGGACATAAGTACTAAGTCTCTGCTAAGAAATTTGAAAGACAGCTACCTGGCCAACGGACTAGGAGAGATCCATAATTGTTCCCATTGCTAACAAAGATGATACAAAAGAATGTGGAAATTATTGATCAATGTAATTATTATCTCATACAGGTAAAATCTTGTAGAAGACTATTTTTAAATGGCTGGAATAGTACATCAACCGGGAACTACCAATAATTCAACCTGGATTCAGAAGAGGTCCTACCACAAGGGATAACATTGCTGATGTCAGATGGAACCTGACTGATAAATTGTGACTAACATTGAGGAGAATGGAAAGCTCAGAACACTTAATTGTGCTCATATGAAGCCTATGCATAGATCAAGAAGCATTCCCTGAACATAACAAAGGAATACTGCATGATAGAAAATTGGGCAAAGTATGCATCAGAATTGTGCCCTTTCCATATCTATTCAGTCTGTTCCTGAGCAAATAATCAGAGAAGGTGGACTATATGAAGAAGAATGTGGCATCAGGATTGAAGGAAAACTCCAACAACCTGGTATACAGATGACTTGAAGAACTAGCTGCAGAAAGTAAAAATCAACAGTCTTTAATATGGATTACCTCTTGGCATCAAGAAAACAGAATTCCTCACCACTGGAACAATAGGCAATATCGTAGATGGCAACAAGATTCAAGCTGCTTGGATTCATAATCAGCCCTCATGTTAACAGCTGTCAAGAAGTTAAAAAAAATGCAATGGGAAAATTTGCTGTTGAGTATCTCTCCAAAGTACTACAAGTTTGTCAGATTAAAGACTAAGGATGAACCTGATCTTTTCAGTTATTTCCTATGCGTCTTAAGATTGGACATTGCATAAAGGTGACAGATAAAGAATTAATTACTTTGAATTGTAGTATTAGAGAAGAGTACTGAATGTCTCTCAAATTGCGGAAGAACAAATCTATATTTAACAAAGTGCAATTACAGTGCTCCTCAGAGGCAAGGACAGTGAAACATTTGTCTTATATAATTTGGGCATGTTGTCAGGAGGGGCAAGTCCTCCAAAAAAAGATACCATGTTTGGAAAGGTGGAGGGTCATCCAAAGAGAGGAAGACAAGATGGATTGACATGGTGGTTGTAGCAATGGGCCCAAGTATATTGGAAATGGTGAGGATGGCACAGGGTAGAGCAAGGTTCAGATCTGTTCTTCATAGATTGCTATGAGTTGTAGTCAACTTGATGGCACCTAACAACAATAACATAGAAGAGATGAAGTAGATTCTGATTAGTAACATTTTTCAATTAAATTTCTTGACAAAGCCACTGCAGTTGGATTGATCCTAACTCCAGCTGTAAATCTTACCCATATTTCTCCTGCATAGTACCTGGTAGATTCAAATCACCAAACATTTGGTTTATAGCCTGACGTGTAATGTACTACTCCACTGGGGTCCCTTTCCTATTAAACTTGGAATCATCTTAGTAATACCTCTGTTGTCTCAATAAACACGTTTTCATTTCATCTTAATTTTGCAAAGATGAGTCATTTATACTGACCATCAGTAATCAGTACAGAAAAAAAGGGGAAAGATTTTATTTTTTAAGTTTCCCTTCCTCTCCCATCTTTTATTCCTTTAACTCTCACACATTCCAGGTTATTTATTTTTGATTGAAAACCAGCTCAGAGTAAATAAGGATTATTGAAAGAGCAATGAGAAACCTGAGCTCTATTCTGGCTCCACCACATACTGGCTATGTGTCTTTGGAGAGATCGCCAAGCACCTCTGAGTCTTGGCAGTGACGCCCACTTTACCATGTGACTGTGAAGCTCAGATGGGCTAATACATGAAAGAGTATTGGCATAGTGTGAACCAGACTCAGTGAATACCAGTTCCAGCTCCTTTTCTCCTCCTCCCAAACTTTCAATCCTGTATAGAATTCAAGTCTAGTTCACCCTTTCACTTGTGGACATTGCAGAGGGCTGAGTGGTTCATTGAGCTGCTTGACTTGACAAGCTGACACCTTGAAGACCATTGATGCCTCCCAAGTTGGTCCACTCACGCTCCTTCTCTCCCTTTTCCTATCCCCAGGTTTTGTCCCCCACCCACTTCCTCATCACCGTCCCAGTGAAAGGCCTGGCTGGGTACAGGGAAACCAAGGAACAGCGCTGGCGGTACTACACCCTGCAGGGCACCAAGCTCGCCTCCCCTCTGCGGAGCCCAGAGGACATGCATCAGTGGCTAGAGGTGGAGCAGTTCATGAAGAGCCTGTGGCAGTGGCATGAGCCAGATGTAAACATCGACGGTGACATCGTGCCTGCCAAAGTCCTACAGGTGTTCAAGAAGCTGGTGGAAAATGCAATTAGTACCTGTCGCCTCTCAGGTGAGCTGACTCAGAAAAGCAAAAGGGAAATGTCTGGCATTTCTCTTGTGTTCTAAAAGTCTTTTTGCAGAACAGGCACTGTTGCTCAAAGCCCATGTTTTAGACAATAATTGATGTGCTTCTTACATTTGTATAATCCCCATAATTTGAATTAGCTATTTTTTTCCTCTGCTGTGACACACAGAATAAAATTCATACCCACTGTACACTCCTGTGGATTTAACTAAATCACTGGTTATGGGTGTGAATTAGGTGCCATTTCTAGATTAGCTTAAAAAATGTGCATTTTAGAAGAAGTAAGTTATTTTAAAACCTTAGAAATTTATTCTTAGCACATGTCTAGTGTTAACAACCTGCCAATGACTGTAGTATGTTGAGATCTCGTATTTAAAAACCATTGATTTGTACCAATACACAAATCCAAAAGCTGTAAAGAACTAAATCTGATGCCTCAGATTTCAAGCTACTGGGCAGTGTGACACACACACATGCATCCTTTTTTTCACAACACAAAGTAAAATGATGATTAGCAACTGGAAAACAATTGCTAACATCCTAAGTTACCAAGGGACCTTTGTGGCAGAGTAGATTAAGTGTTGGTGCTGTTAACCAAAAGGTCAGCAGTTTGAACCAACCAACAGCTCTTTGGGAGAGCAATGAAAGTAATCTGCATCCAAGCAACACAGGCAGTCTGCTGTGCTAAGGACCAGTGACTTGGCAGCTTAACATCTGCAAATGGACTGGCAGCCCCACCTTCCCGGCCCTACACTCCCACCACAGTATCCCACCCCCACCTCCGTCCACCCCCCCACACACACACACACTCCACACACACACACACACACACTCTGGTGGCTGCACCACAGCCCTGCACCCCCCAAAGGCACTCGAGCCACTAGAGAGTCCTTCACGCAGCACAGAGCCTGGACAACTGCTGTGGATAGTAGGATTTTGAATGAAAACTTTTGTTGGAACAATTTGTTTTGGCGCTACAGGAATACAAAGCCTTGTTGTGGATCCAGCCATCACCTGAAGCCACCAGTCAAGCTGCTGTGGCAGGAGAAATCTGATCTGGCAGGAGAAATGCCAGTAGGATCATGACTGGGTTTTCTTGGGCACTGCTGATTGCCTGAGAGAGTACCCAAGTGAGCCCACTGGTGGGAATTTGACTGAACTCTCTTGGGCCACACCAACTGCCCAGGTATGAGCCAGCTAGGGGTAATTTGTCTGAACTTTTGTGGACACAGCAGAACAGCCAGAGGCGAGTGCGTTGGTGGGGATTTGACTTTGACTTCTTGGGTCCCGTTGGACCCAGGACTCTGCTTGGGCAGGGGCCACTGCACGAGGGCCCCTCCTTAAGTGCCACTGGGCAGGGACCACTGGGTGGGAGACGGACAACTGGAATTTGAGTAGGGACCCCAGTTGTGAGCACACCCAGACAGCTGAGGTCTGAGTGAGGTCCCCCAAGTGGTTGACCTTCCCTTGTGATCACCCCACCCCCGTGCACATCCCACCCCATTTGGCTCCACACCTGTGCCTATACGTCTGATCAATCAACTTGCCTGTAATCTGGAGCACCTTGACCTGTCTTACCTACAAGAGGCTGCTCTCATAGGCTCTGAACTGGCATTTCCCTGGAGTCAGAAGTTCAGAGAAACACACAAGTGGGGTAGCTGCCCAACTGATCACTAGTCTTCAGATCAAAAACATATCAATGTCTTGAAGAAAGCAAGCTATCTTACACACTACACAAGCACAAAGCAAGATGTCACCCCCAAAGGGTGACACGGTATCAGTGGATTTCCTGAAGCCAGAAAGTCTGATGGAACTTTCTGACACAGAATTTAAAAGAACAATGATTGAATATTTTCAATGGATGAAAGACAAACTTGAAGAATTACAGGATACTACAAGCAAAAACCAGGTTGTTGTTGATGTTGTTATGTGCCATCGAGTCGCTTGCAACTCATAGTGACCCTATGTACAACAGCCCTAAACCCTACTCTATCTTGTGCCAATGGCATTGCCTCTGACACACCCATCCCTATTACCCCAGTCACTAAATCAATCCGCCTCATAGAGGGTCTTCCCCTCCTGTGCTGTCCCTCCACCCTACCAAGCATGATGTCCCTCTCCAAGGACCTGTCTCTCCTTACAACATGTCCAAAGTATGTCAGACGAAGCCCCAGAATCCTTGACTCCAAGGAGTAGCCTGGTTTAACCCTTTCCAGGATGAATCTGTTTGTTTTCTTGGCAGTCCAGGGTACATTCAATACTTTTCTCCAGCACCACAGCTCAAAGGCATCAATTCTCCTTCTATCCTCCCTAATCATTGTCCAAGTCTCTGATGCATAACAAGTGTTTGCAAAGACCATGGCCTGTATCAGGCGCACATTAGTCTCCAGAGAGACACTGTTGCTCTTGAGTACTTTAGAAAGGTCCCTAACAGCAGACTTTCCCATCGCAGTATGTTTTTTGATTTCCTGGCTGCTGGTGCCAAGAGTGTTAACCATGGAGCCGAACAAACTGAAGCTGTGAACAATCTCAATCTCTTCGCCATCCATCCTGATGCTACCAATTGGTCCAGTGGTGAGAATCTTTGTCTTCTTGACATTGAGCCCCAGTCCATACTGAAGGCTGCAGTCCTTGACCCTCTGCAGCAAGTGCATGAGGTCCTCCTCAGTTTCAGCAAGCAGGGTTGTGTCATCTGCATAACGCAAATTGTTAATAGATCTTCCACCAATCCTGAAACCACACTTCTCCTCATAGAGCCCAGCCTCTTGGATAATCTGCTCTGCATACAGGTTGAAAAGGTATGGAGATAGGACACATTCCTGGTGTACACCCTTCCCAATTTTGAACCATGCAGTGTTACCCTGCTCTGTTCTGACGACTGCCTCTTGGTTCAAGTATGTTTCATTGATTATGCATAGGCATTTGACTGTGTGGATCATAAAAAAAAACAGGAGAAGCTCAAAAACCAATCCAGAACAATGTAGAAAAAACAAACGAGGCATTAGCGGCACTGGAAAGTAATCTGCATCCACAAAAATTTATAGCTTTGGAAACCTGATGGAGGCCAGCATGACTGACTCCAAAAGGCAATGGGTTTGGTTTTTTATTTTGTTATCAGAGAATTTATTGATCAAGAAGGAAGAAGATGAATGGACTAATTAAAATAATGGCAATAGTGGGAATCTTAGATAAAGAACAAAATAGTTATTATTGTAAATGATGCTTCACCTCATATGTATTCCACGGGCACATTACAATGTATAACAGGTTGTTGGAGATGAGAAAGTGAGGTGAGGTCATGCTTAGTGCCAGGGCAGAAACAGGTGTCAGGACATTGTTCTTGGGGATATAAGTGAGTGCCTCCAGTTGTGTCCAGTTTTGCTTTTATAATGTGTTTACTTGGTAATCCTGCAATTCTAGACCAGAAATACACAGAAAAATATGTATGTGATATCCGCTGTGGTGGGTTTTGTAATGGTAGATGGCTAGAGATAATCTAAATGGTTAACAAAGGAAAATTGACCAAATAAATTAAGTTGCCTCTCTAATTAACTGCTACACAGTCTTTAAAAATGAGGCACACACACATCCATGCCTATGTGTGTACACATGTACACAAATAGAAAAAATTTCATGCTAGATAATTAAGTGAAAAAGCGAAGTACTACATAACGTGCGATCCCATCAGTGTAGAGAGAAAAACAATCTCTGTTTGCTTGTCTAGATAGAATAGTTCGGAAAGTTTTCATGATGATAATAATTCATATCCTGTGGGTTTTTATTATGTAGAAAATATTTTCATGGGCTGTTTAATGCATCCCTCATATCAGCCCTGCAGAATAAGAATTTCTCTTTTACTTGTTTCTGTAGGTAAGAAAACTAAAGCTTAGTGAACTTCATTCAGCAACTTGGCCAGAGGTCACACATTTAGTAAAGGAGGTCGAGCAGCAGCATCAGATGTGGACCAGGCAGGCTCACCTCTTCATTTTGCAATAGTATAAATAGTGAAAGTGCAAATGAGAAATTTCACACCAGGCCAGGCTGTGTGCCAGGTGGCATCACTGTTCCCTTCCGGCCAGATCTGAAGAGAGGCCCATACTTGCACTTTATGATAACCTGGTCAGAAAGATATGAACGCAGTAAATAAGCTCTCATTTTCCTCTCTGAGGAAGAAAAAGCAAAATAATAGATGTTAGTTGAAGACATTTCCTCTCTTATCGGTAATGAAAACAAATGAACAAAAAATTTACAATAACTGAAACCCACTGCTATTGAATGGATTCCAACTCATCAGCACCCCTAAGGCAGAGCAGAACTGTCTGTTCTGATGGCCATCACTCTTTAGGAAACAGACTGCTACAGCTTTTTCCCATGGAGCAGCTGGTGGGGAAAATCATGTGTTTTCCAGTTAGCAGTGAGAAAATTAATCACCATGCCACCAGGGCTTCTCTTTATTTGAAAGAAGGGAGAACCAATTAGAAATGAGAAAATAACTGCATATGATCTGGGAAGCTTTACCACATGTGTGTATTTTGTGTCTCCCTTTACCTGGGAAATGGAGGTGTGAGGATTTCCTTTCACCCCCCCCCCCGACGATAGACCGATTGTAATGGGCTTTGAAGTGTTTTATGATTACAAGGACTTATGGATATATCTTGGAGAAAGTGCAGCCAGTGTTCCTTGGAGGCAAAGATGGTGAAGCTTCATTTCATACTTAAGACATATGGCGAGGTGAGACTATTCCACATTAAGAGACATCATACTTGGGAAGATGGCAAGTCAGTGAAAATGAGGACACCCCCAAGAGATGGACTGACACAGTGACTGCAGCAGTGGGCTCAAGTGTGTCAGAGATGATGAGGCCAACATAGGACAGGACAAGGTTCATGTCTCTTGTTCTTAGGGTTACTGCGAATTGTATGTCTCTCAACAGCACCTACTAACATGATAAAATACCCAAGGGTGGGCTAGCTTATTGGATGTTGGAAACATAGAAAGCAGGTTATATCATTTAATATTTTTTATCAATAATTCTTTCTGACTCAGAAATGTAGGTATTTGGGGTGGAATGAAGTAAGATACAGAAGAGAATGGTTACATTTTATTTTATGGTAGTATTTTGTGGCTTTCCAAGAAGAATCAACTATTTAAAAGAAAAAGTATTTTAAAATTCTTGGGTAAGAGAAAGAAAATACCCACCAACAGCGATTTTCCAGCAATGCTTCTAGGACTGTATCTGGCCAGTTGGTTTTGACATAGATCCCCACCAGTAGATGGGCTGGCTGTGGGCATTGTGTGCCAGTTGCAAGGAGCTGGTTTGGGCAGCCATTCACAGATTCTTTCCTTGAATGCTTGTGATTGATCAACTGTCTCTTCTCCTTTTCCATCAGATAAAGTCACCATACTGGAGAGACGCAGCTCTGTGATTTGGGTTGCTGTAGAAACATCTGTATGTCAGGTGGAACTAGAGCTTGTCCCCACAGTGGAGATCTCCAACAGTTGGTCTGTGAAAGCCCAGTGGCCCCGATGTCTGAAGCGCTGGCCTTCCGTCGAGACAGTGGAGTGTGTCAAGGTATCAGAGGGCAGGCCCTGGCTTTCTAGAACAGAGGCATTCAAAGTTTAACCCATCACAGCACGGCTGACAGTGACTGGCTTGACAGAAAGTCAGTGTCAAACTCATTGGCATCCAGCTGGAATCGACTTAAAACTAACTCTCCAACAGGGTTTGTTGTGTGTGTGTGTGTGTGTGTGTGTGTGTGTGTTTAGGCTGTAAATCACATAGGAGCACACTCTGGTGGTCTAGAGATAAGGAGTTATGCTACCAGCCCAGAGGCAGGTAGTTTGAATCCACCAACTGTTCCACAAGATTAGATGGGCAATCTCCTGTGCAGTTGACAGCCTCTGAAGACCTGCTGGAGGATCTGCTATGAGTCGGTTCCGATTCAACAGCACTTAACAGAAAACACAAATCACATAGAAGGAATTTGCCCATCCTTCTCCTACAGAGCCTGGCAGATTCGAACCACTAGAGAGGCACAGCCTTTCAGCTAGCAGCACAGAGGTCTACGGGCTGTGGCACACCATCTGCTCAGTTCTCCCCTGTGGTTCCTGGACCAACAGCATCAGCATCATCTGGGGTCTTAATAGAAATGCACGTTCTTGGACCCTAACTCCAAGTTTACTGGAGGGGTTGCTGAGGGGAGCACACATCAGTCTATTTTAATGAGTTCCCCAGGTGATTCTGATGCAGGCACCAGATTTGAGACCGTTGCACACAATGTAGAGCACAGGCTCTACATTTTACTTTCTGTAGATGTTCATTGAAATTAATTTAAAAAAAATAGTTCTCAAAAAAAAAAGTGGTTGGTGTTTCCTTGGTGACACAAACAATTAAGCCCCTATTTACTCTTTCCCCCATACATTTTTGAGCAAACAGATAAGATTGTTCACTGTATCTGAAATTCTTAATTCTCCTAACTGAAGGTTGAATTTCTAACTCCATCCACAATTCCCTGTTATCTACTTCCAGAACTCAGACACTGAAAACCCCATAAGTGCAGTTCTCCTCAGACTCACCTGGGGTCACCCTCAGTCAGAATCAACCCCTTGGCAACTGGTTTTACTCCCCTGGTCCCCATGTTGAATGCATCACCTACCCAGTAGTAGAGCCCCAGGCTAGTGGACTGCTCTAGAGGTGGCGTTTCACTTCAACATAATTTCCTTCCTTTTTCCTTTGTTTCCTCTCTCCCGACAGTCACTTGGGTTTGACTTGTTGGCCTGTTCAAGTTATCACTGGCAGCTAAGCTTCTGCCGGGCCGAGCAGACACTGCTGGAGATGCTGGATGAGGACGGGGGCTGCCGCAGGAAGTGCTTCCAGGTCCTGCAGCAGATGACGGAGGAAGTCTGGTGTCCAGGCAAGAGGTCGGTTCTCACATCCCACCATCTGCAGGTGAGCTGACCTGATGCCCTATCCAGGGCACAGGACCATCTTGGTCAGGAGCTGCCCATTCTGCTTCCTCTGTCGGGCCTGGCCCTCACCACATAAGAGGGGGCAGTGAGTGTGACTGTGGGTAGGACGAATTCAGGATGGGGCTTAATGTCCATATCCACCCTGAAAATGATAACTCCTTGGTGGCATAGCAGGTTTCATGCTGGGCTACAAACCAAAAGGTCAATGGTTTGAATCTACTAGCTTCTTCAAGAGAGAAAGAGGAGGCATTTTGTTCCTGTTAAGATTTACACAGCATTGTAATCCTGAAGGTGCTCAGTTCAAAACCAGATGCTTTGCTGAAGGAAGAGGGGAACTCTCCTGTCAGTCGGATACGACTTGATGGTACACAACAAGAGAAAAACACCACAAACAAACAACATACACAAAAAATTTATAGCCTCAAAGAACCTGATAGAGGGTCATCAAGAGTTAGAAATCAGGTCAACACCAGTGAGGCCAGGTTTGGTATGGGAATACACAAATCCAGGCTGCATGAGTATGGATGCAAATACTGTCTGCTCCCTTCCTCCCCTTTCTGAACCTCCTTCCTCTTCTCTTCCTGTTTTTCTCCCTCCACCTCTCCTCCTCTTCCTCATTCCCCTCCTCTTCTGTCTTGCCCCCTCTTGTTTTGCTCCTCATTCTCCTCCTCTCCCTCCTCATCCTCTTTCCCTTTGCTCACACTTCCTTTATCTCTTTCAACACACTGACAGGAAAGCCCACTGAGTAATCGACTGTGGTGAAGTCTTGTGAATTGTGTTCAACTCTCTGATGGGTTCCTGTTTTCCCCTGGTGCTGTGACACATTCAGTCCCACCAGTGTGATTGTTGTGACACACACACTTTACAAGTAAGAGGGAAGCCACAGAAAGAAAATGTTGACCTTACTATATGAACATTGCTGCAAGCATGTTTTCAGGTTAAGAAACTTGCCAGGTTCCAAGTCACTGGGCAGGAATTTTCCTTCACTCTGCCAGCACTTGCCTCCTTTTGCCCCAAACCCAACATCATTATGCCTCTAAGTATATTCATTCACGCACTCACTCATTCAACCAATTTGTATTGAGGCTACCTCGGTCTAGACTGTTCTTACCACTTGGAGTTACAATGTTAGTTCTTGCTCTTTTGAAGCTTAGGGTCTTAATGGGAGAGCACAACACTGATCACACAATCCTGCAGGAGGAATCACTCTCACAGAATCACACACAATGGAGGTGTTTGGAAGGTGAGGCGCCCAGCTGTGTGAGGGCGAAGGGCACCCAAATCAGACCTGGACAGGTCAGGGAGTCTTTCCTGGGAAGGTGATCTGGGATAAAGTCCCACCTCCTCCTTTCTCACCCTCGGGACACCCACTGGAGGAAGTGCAGCCAGGGTGCTCCTTTAGAGGCAAGGATGATGAACCTTGGTCTCACATGCTTTGGGCAGGCATAGCACGACAACATGCTAGTCTTTAGAAAAGGACATCATGCTGAGAAAGTTGGAGGGTCAGCGAGAGGGAGGCCCTCAATAGGACGGATTGGTAGAATTGCAACAAGATGATTGGCACAGTGGCTGTAACAATGGACTTGAGTGAATAGGAGGTCGTGAGGATGGTACAGGATAGAGCAGAGTTTGGATCTGTTATTCGTAGAGTAGCTGTAAGTTAAAAAGGGCTTAATGGCACCTAACAACAAGAATGTGTAACAGCTTTGTCCTATGCAGTAGGTTGAGAATTTTAAATTTTTTTTTTATTATTTGTGTGTGTGTGTGTATGTGTGTATGTACTGTCAAAGCAGATCTGACTAGCACAGAAGGAGATTGTCCCACCTTCTCCAGCATAGCATCTAGTGGGTTAGAACCATATACCTCTGGGATTACAGTGCTGCTTCTTGCCACTAGGCCATTAGAGCTCCCTCAGGTCTGAGACTCTTATGAGACATCTCTCAGCCACAGACAAACTAATGTCTATCAAGGAGCATCCTTCCCCTCCCTGTGACCCTAAACAGGCCTAAATCAGGAGAGCTGGCTGCCTTTCTGGGAGGGTAAAATTCAGGTCACTGGTGCAGCCACCTGGCTGGTAAATTACTTGTGTGATTCTTCCCATTCAGTGAAAAGAACCATATTCTAGGGCCCATAATATGCCTTGTACACCAGTGTAACCTGTTCCAATGACAGGAATCCTGGTGGCACAAAGGTCAAGCTTAGTTGTTGTTCTAACCCATCCAGTGATTCCATGGGAGAAAGATTTGGTGATTGCTTCCATAAGGATTGTTGTTGTTGTGCGCCGTGGAGTCAGCACCGACCCATAGCTGACCCTCTAGAGGGTTTTCAGAGGCAGTCAATCACATGGGAGTAGATTGCCCATCCTTCTCCCTTGGAGAGCTGGTGGATTTGAACTGGATGCCTTTGAGATTGCTGTGCAGCTTCTTAACCTCTAGACCATCAGAACTCCCTTCCATGAGGATTACAGGCTGGGAATCCCTGTAGGACCGTTCTCATGTGTTCTGTCAGGTTGCTGTGAGTCAGAATTTACTCCAAAACATATATCCTTTCTCTCAAAGCTTTACATGTAGTAGTTATTTTCGGAATGACTTCACATATTATTCAACTTTGTTTTTCCTTCATAAAATCACTGACTTTTTTCTTTGCTTATCTTTCTTGCTAACTTACCCTCCCTTTTCCTTCCCTTCTTCCAAACAAACCCCTCTGCCATTGATTCCATTCATGGAATCCCATGAGACAGAACAGAACTGCCTGTAGGGTTTCCAAGGCTGTAGCTGCCTCATCTTCCCCCTGTTGAACAGCTAGTAGACCCAAAAAATACACTAAACTATCATTTACACATATTGGGACCTTCCCACCTTATCCACATGCCCCAAATACATTCCCTCAAAAAGATATAATCCATTCTTTGGGATCATGGGTAGGCATTTTCAGAAAATAAATTTTATGAATAGAGCTTCTAGTAAGTGGTAGGGTAAAGAAGCAAACCCAAGTCTGTCACATAGTATTAATACATAATACTATGTATCACTGCCTTTGAGTTGTAGTGTTGGAGGGGAATATTGAACATCCATTGACTGACAGAAGAATGAATAGGTCTTGGAGAAAGTGCAGCCAGAATGCTCCTTGGAGGCAAAGATGATAAAGATTCGTCTCACATATTTTGGCCATGTTGCTAGGAGAGGCTGTTCCTTAGAGAGGGACATCATGCATGCAAAGGTGGAGGGTCAGAAAAAAAAGGAAGACCCTGGTGATTCAGGAATTGTGAGGATGGCACAGGACAGGACAGGACAGGACTCAGATCTATTGTTCATAGGGTTGCTATGGGTTGTAATCGACTTGATGGCACGTAACAATGTCTCACGAAGACTACTGCCCTCTGTCTTACAAAGACTATTGACTTCATTGCCTTTCAACAAAGAAGCAAAAAGACCATTCATTATATGGAGTGAATATGTTAGGACAGATTGAGTCATACCACAACTGTGGCCGTGACTTTCCGGCCTCAAAACTACTTTCCATCCAGGCACTTACTTCATTGCAGTAACTCCAATAACCTAGAGAGTTTTAAGGCCATCACTAAAGGTTCTCTGCTTAAACTCTGCTGAGCCTGCTGACGTGATGTGATGTCAATTGTGTACCACTGAGTCTGAACCCATCAGCAGATCTTCAGAGGCAGGAAATAGCATGGGAGGAGATAACATGACATGATAGAATTGTTTATTTTCAAGACGATTGTGAAGAAGAATGAAGGAAATGGAACTAAACCACATTCCCTCCAGCTGTCCACCAAGGACAATATTCCCCCAACAGTCAGGCATCCGTTCCTTGGGCTGGATGTGACTGGTGACAAATATCTTACTAGATAGCCAAGATAATTGCTTAAGTTTGTTGAATCCTTGTCAAAGCTTCATTCTAAGGAAAGTGGAGAAGGTTAGGTTGCAAAACATTACCAGGAAGCATATGCCGATCAAAGTCCTTCACCTTAATGCCTGACAGAGCCTTACCTGTCCCCAGAGAGGCTTTCTTTCAAGGCTATTTCACCTTAAGCAAGAGCTTGGTTTTCACTGGATGGTTTATTTAAAAACTCACTTTCAGACACGTTTGCCTCTAATTGGCTCAATAGCTTCAGTTTCTCAACAGAAATAAGTTTTAACTAACAAGCAAAATTAATTCTAACTAGGTTATCTTGACAAACATTTTTCTGATTCGTTTGCCAAAAAATGTTCATAGAAATAGATTCTCAATGTCTAAACTGTGACAATCACTAATTAATGCCTTACTTACTCAATGAACATATACGTCTCTCCCAGGGTCAGTGCCTTTTCTGGGTGCTAGTGAATACAAATGCAGTCCCCTGCTCTAACTGAATTTAGAGTCTAGCAAGAGAGTTGAGGCAAAGTGCATAAGTAAATACAAAACAAACTCTTAAAAAATACCTTGTTACTGTGATCATTTCTTCTTAGGAGCATTCCATGACGTAGAAAATGAGTAATGGGTACGTAAGAGAAATTTGGCTTAGTGGTTAAATATCCTGGGCAAAAGGGAGAAAAAAGAGTGCTTTAGAAATAGAGGAGCGTCCACAGAGAACCTGGTAGAAAAGGTCATGAAACAAAGTCACTGTGGCCAGAGAAGATGGGAGAGCCAAGAAGACTATGGGGCAAGGTGAGGCTGGGAAGGAGAGTGGGGACACCACCACCCCATGTTTAGGACTGCACTTTCAATAGACACACTATAATAATTTTTAAAGAAAGAGGAACATGGACAGATGTGTATTGGAAAAAGTCCATGCGGAAGGGTTAGACAGTGTTACAGAGTTCAGGCTGAGGTGTGATGACTGCGTGGAGAAGGGTGGATAGAGATTAAGGGTTGATTTGAGAAATGCTTAGACAGGATTGACAAGACTTGATAAGGGGTAGTGAGGCCTTTGAGCTTTGTGTCTTGCATAAGTGACTGGATAAACCACTCAGGAGTGGCTTAGGCTTGTGGAAGACCATGAGTTCAGTCTGGACATGTTGAGAATGAAGTAACTTAGATTTCTAAGAGATATCATGTAAGCAGGTCAGAGGTTGGAAAAAATAATTTGCAAGTTTTCTATGCTTAGTAGTAATTAAAGTCACTGATTAGAGTGATTAGCATGTCTGGAGAACAGGCAGAGTAAGAGGAGAAGAGGGTGGAGGGCTGTTTCTGAGACATCAGTGTTTAGAGGTAGGGAGAAAATGAGCCTGCCAAGGAGCAGAGGGCATGTGGGGAGAAAACCAAGAGAGTGCTGGTTTGGAAGCCAGGTGAGGAGTGGCTCCAGAGCATCTGATGCTGCTGAGAGGGAACTGGGTGAAGGCTCAGAAAGACCTTTTGGGCTTCACAATGTGGAGCTCATTGGGCCTGAATGAGGGTAATTTTTGAGGAATGGTGGAAGAATCTATTACACTGGGTTAAAGCAGGGAATGAAAAGACAAATGACAAAATAGAGATGACCATTTGGAGAAGTCTGGATTTGCAGAAGTAAAAATTAGAAGCATTTGTGATTCTGTGATTAAATTCTCACCTTCCATGGACAAGACCCAGGCTGGATTCTGGCCCTTGCCCCACATACACAGCCTTAGTACTAAGAAGCAGCGCTGCAATCCCAAAGGCACGCAGTTCAATCCACCAGCTGCTCCACAGGAGAAGGTTGAGGGGTCTCCTCCCATGCGATTTATTGCCTCTGAAAACCCTCTGGAGGGTCAACTGTGAGTCATTTTCAGCTCGACGACACACAACATCTGTCAGTGGATGCTAAACAGGTTGTAGCAGAACTTCCAGATGAATACTAGTTAACATCAAGGGGTATATAGGGTTGGAATATAGAGCTTTAATTACTTTCACAGCATAGTGAGGAGGAGGGTACTCATCATACTTCCTGCAAGACTGGACCCAGAGCTCGTAGAGCGAGTGGCCCCAGCAGGAGCCACAGAGGTACACAGAATTGCAGAGGTACGCAGAATTGTCTTGTTTGCAAGAATAAGAGTTTATTTATATTTTCCTGTGAAGTCTAAGGTGCCTACCAGGGGTGGGATGCGGCAAACTTAAGAAGAGTGGTGATCATCAGAAATGTCCCTGTACAACGAGGTAGTGGATTTAATAAAGAGGCAGAGAAGGTTGGTAGGACAAGGCTGAGGGTCATCTCAGTGTGGGGGTCTTGAATTTATAGAGTGAACCATTAACTTGGCCCCCTCCTTCTCTAGTATAAGCTCAATAATGCTTCTGAACAGATGCCCTTCGATGCTCCAAAGCAATGGCTGACACCAGTCTCTTCCTTCCGCAGACGGTGCTCTTTTGGACTTGTGAGAAATATCCCCACACGAGAGACTGGCAGGTTTTCAACAAGGCATTCCTGCGCCTGGTAAAGAAATTGCACAAGTGTGTGAGCCAGCATTTTCTGAAGCACTATTTCATGCGGAACAGCAACCTCCTTCGATATGCCAACTTTATGGAACTGGATGCTGTGGCTGAAAAACTGACCAGCTTCCTGAAGAACCCCCAGTTCAGCCTGCCCTGACAGCCCGAGTCAGGAGGCTCTGGGATATGTCATATGGGTTTGACTGCCCTTTCTGAGGATGATTCCACCCAGCGCCAGAACCCTGCACAAGCAGAGGAAACTACACTGAACCAGCAGCCTTTCAAAGGGGGAAGCTGTGTCCCAGGATGTCTGGTTCAGCCCTATCCAGGTCCAAGCAAGCATTTCAGCTCTTGCTACCTCTCTTGGGGACAGCTCTCACCAAGCGTCCACAAGTCACAGATTTCTGAACTGATGGCAGTTCTGTTTTTCTTTGCTCCAGCTCTGATGATCTGGCAGAGGATGGGGATGAGAACTGGAGGGCCAGGCGTCCGTCTGCTGCCCGGGAATTATTCTGTAGCTCATTGATCATGGGCTCGTTATTATTTCATTTGTAAAAATGGGACTGTGAACATGCCTCCCTTGAATCTTCATATACTGCGCAGATGTCCTTCAAAAGGAAAGGTGCTGGATCCCTAAAGTGTTCCTACTGTTTCCATAGATGGTCTCACCATCCTGAGTCTCAGGGTGGTGTAAAGACTTAGCAATCTTGGCTGCTAACTCCAGGGTGCCTCAGAAGAAAGACCTTGTGATCTGCACGTGGGGTTATTGTGAGCCGAGTTGAAGCCATAACCACGGTTTGGCTTTATTTTGTGTCTTAGATCAATACTTACATAATGATTAAATGGTAATGCCTGATGAGTTAGCGTGCCTGTTGTCTTCATTTTCTAGGTCGCCATAAGAAAATACCACCCAGTGGGTAGCTTTAAAAATGTTTTCAGAGTTCTGGGGGCTGGAGTACAGCTCTAATGCATTGGCAGGCCTGCTGTCTTCCTTTCTCTCCATTGTCTCTAAAGGAAGGTTCTTCCTTGTGAGCTTCTAGGCCATTTCTTGGCACACAGATCTTTGTATCATCCCCTGTGTGTGACAGCTTCTGCCTATTCATTCTGTAAGGTACCACTCAAAAAAAGGGATAGAATGAGGACACACGGTACTCCGGTATGTGATCATGTTAAGTTTAATGGTAGCATAAGACCAAAAACCCACCCAAAACCCAACCACCATCAAAACCTCACTCTAGTCTGGAACTAAAGTTCTATTCACAGAGATGGGGATTTTAGCATCTCTTTGCAGGACCCAAGTCCACTTGCCATCCTTTGTGCTCAGTGGTTCATGGTTGGTTCTACTTTGCTAGTGTTCTCAAAGGAGGGAAATGAAGACATTAGTGTAAGTCACAGATGAATGTGGTTCTAGCCTGCTCCTAGCTGCAAGGACAAGGGTGGGCCATGGGCTGTGTCCTGGGATCTGCTTACTGTGACTGTGCTCTCACTGGTATGAATACATTCTTTTGCTCACCTCATTTACTTTCTGATGAGTGTGTGCTCACTAAACATTGAGAACACAGCAGTGGCTAGAAGGGAAGGACTTATCCTGATGGGAATGACAATTGATAAAGATAGAAGATAAATGGTAAACATAATTACATAATTCCGGTCAGTGGACCTCAAGCTCAGCTTCCACCCGTCTGCCAAGTGGAGGCTCATCTCTTACAGCTCTGCTAAACAGGTTTTACTGGAGCATCTAAACTAGGAGTAGATCACAGTGATGAGCTGAATACTGCTCCAGTCTGATCACTGTGACTGAAAGGGATTTCTGAGTTGTGAGAAAAACAAAACCACACACTAAGAGTAGGAAGAAAGGCCTGGTTATCTACTTCCAAAAATTAGCCCATGTAAACTCTTAATTCTAAAATAGATCATGGGATTGGTATAGGATCAGAAAGCATTTTATTTGTGGATACATGGGGTCACCACGAATCAGAGACAAACTCCCTAGCAGTTAACCAGTCCTGTTGAGGAAATAGAATGCTGTACCCCAGCTGAGAGGATACCTCATAGCCTTGTAGGCTAAGCGCTGGGCTGAGGACAACAGCTGCTCCCATAAAGAGTTACAGCCCCCAGAACCTTAGGGCACCTTAACTCTGTCCACTGGGGATGCTATGAGTCAAGGGCTCTGGTATGGCTACCTTGTGAAGTAAAACAGGACATCCCAGTAAACTGATACTGAACAATCCTTAAAGGATGATGATAGAAACAGCAGGAGGAGAAAGGAAAGGGGTCAGCCACAGACCTGGGGCTTGGTCAGAGTCAAACTTGTGACACTGATAAGGAATTTTTATTCTAATACAAAGACGTGACATTGGCCTTATCCAAACTAGAGGGTTAGCTTAGTTGTCTCATTCACCCTCATTGCCTGAGAGTTAGAACTGACTCTGTTATTTGGTACCATTGACTTGGATCCTCCAGGTTTTCAGAGACCGCAAATCTTATGGGGAAATCACGGCATTGCACTGGGAAAATCTGCACTTAAGGACCTCTCCAAATTATTGAGGAGTAATGATGTCAGTTTGAGGACTAAGGTGTTTCTGACTCAGGCCATAATCTTTCTGATCACTTGCTGTGCGTCTGAGAGCTGGACAATGAACAAGGATGACAGAAAGAGAATTGACAGCCAGGAGAACAAACGGGTATATCTTGGAGAGGGTGCAGCTGGAGTGCTCTTTGGAGGTAAGAATGATGAGGCTTTGCCTCAAATACTTTAGGCATGTTGCTAGGAGGGGCTATTCGTTGGAGAGGGACATGATGCTGACAAGGGTCGAGGGTCAGCAAAGGAAAAGAAGATCCTCAACCAGGTATACTGACATGGTGACTGCTTCACTGGGCTCTTGTGTGTCAGGAAGTGTGAGGATGGTGTGGGATAGAGCAGGGTTCATACCTTTTGTTCATAGGGTCGCTATGAGTCATACTCGATGGCACCTAGCAACAACAAATCTCGTGGGAGGAAATTTCCCATCCTTCTATATTGCAGCTGGTGGATTCAAATCTCATGATTTTGAGTTTACAGTGCGGCTTCTTACCACTAGGCCACCAGAGCTGTGACTCTAGTACTGCAATAATAGAGATACCACAAGGAGATGACTTAAATAAAAAGTTATATTCTTTCAGTCTGTGTGCCTTCCATTGGGACCTTACCCTAAGAGCAGTTGACCTATACCTATCCTGTGCCGTCTTCATCATATCTGATATACATGAGCCTATGGTTACAGTCACTATCTTGTCAGTCTATCTTGTTGAAGTTATTCCTCTCTTTTGCTGACCCTCCATCTTTCCTAGCATGTCTTTTTTATATCTTTTTTTTTAGTTTCACCCATTCACACTGTATTTTACACACTCATTCCCATTCATTCTGTCTTATAAAATTAATCACCACTGATCTATTCCCACTATTATTCCAAATTTTCAGATCCCTACTGGATTTTTCTTAATTCCTTCATCCCCTCCATCCACCCACCAAACTCTGCTGTGACCCTATGATTTCCTTGCCAACCCCTTCTCCCCTGCTCCTCCAGTTCCTTCCTTGGCTATCCATCCACATCTTACTAGTTATCCTTCTGTTTTTACAATAATGGTCTTATGCAGTATTTGTCCTTATAAGCCTGACTTAAGTCTCTCTAGCCTCTCCCATATAATAGTTTTTTTTTTTTTTTTTTGAGGTCATTGTTTCTGAGTGCTGCATAGTATTCCATCATATGAATGAACCACAATGTATAAATCCAGTAGTTTACTGATGTTTGGGCTGTTTTCATGTTCTTGCTGTTCTCAGTGTTGGTTTCCTGCCTATCCTAAATACTTAGTCCCAGGCCTATGTCTTGATAAGGCTTGACCATATCCTGATAAGGCCCTGGGCCTAATCACATGCTGACAGGATCCCTGCCCCAAATTCCTAAGCAAACTACCATCCCCTCTAAATCTCCGTAACAGACCCTATAAAAGAAAACTGCTTTTGTCTGCCTACATGTCATTCTGATCTTCTTTGCATGTAGTCAACCTGGCATTCTTTTCAGGTCTACTTAATAAAGGCCTGTTTATTACTTGGGACCACTGGTTTCTTCCTCTCGCTTTCAGCTGTCTTCCTATCTAACAAGCATTATTGTGAATAACACTGCTGTGATCATTGGTGTACAAATCTCCTTTTATGTCTCAGTTCTATTTTCCTTGGGGTATATTTCAAGCAGTGGAATAACTGTGTCATGGAATTTCTATGTTCAACTTTTTGAGGAAATGGCAGACTGCCTTCCAGAGTGGTTGTACCATTTTACAATCCCACCAACAGTATATGAGCGTTCCAATCTCTCCACATCCTCTCCAGCATTTATTGCTTACTGTCCTTAAAGTTTGCCACTGCTACTGGGGTGAGATGGTATCTCATTGTGGTTTTGATTTCCATCTTTCTTATTGCCAGTGTGATTTCGGGCATTTCTTCATGTGTCTGTTGGCCATCCAAACGCCTTCCTCTGTGAAAATTGTTTCCATGTTTTTTGCTCATTTTGTATTTGGGTTATCAGTCATTTTCTTGTAGAGGCACTGGAGTATTCTGTAAACTTTCATTATGAGATCCTTGTCTGAGATGTCATTGCCAAATGTTTGCTCCCAGTCAGTAGGTTTTCTTTTCACTGTATTAAAAAAGTTTTTGATGTGCACAGGGAGTTCATGTTTAGAAGGTCCCATTCATTGTTGGTTTTCTCTCCCTGTTGTGCAGCATGACATCCTTTCCAAGGACCAGTCCTTTCTAACAACATGCCCAAAATATGTAAGATGAAGCTTTACTATCCTTGCTGCTAAGGAGCCCCCCGGTCACTATGACAACACAGACTTGTTTGTTCTTTTGGCAGCCCATGGGCTATTCAGTACTCTATCACCATAACTCAACGGCATCCTTAGTCAATGTCCAACTTTCAGATAGCAACTAATTGAAAAGACTATGGCTTACTATGGTCTTTAAACTGCCGTCATGCTCGTTAGCACTTTGGAGAAGTCTCTGACAGCAAATTTTTCCAATGTGACACATCTTGATTTCTTGACTGTTGGTACTAAGGATACTGATGTCAATCCAAGTAATTTAAAATTTTTTATAATTTCAATCTTTTCTCCATCTATTGTGAT